AAGAATAATCATCTTTCTCATGGTCTCATCAAATAAAAACAAAGAGTGATCAGAAATTTGACTACCAACTTTAGGACCTCTTTTTTTTTTGGTAAGTACATCAACAGTTCATGAATACTACGAAAATTTCAACCGAAGATCTTTCATTTTTCCCAGTCCTCACTAGTAATCTGATCAGAATTTATTTTCATGCAAAGATAATCTCACATAAAGTGATACTGCAGTTCTTATATAAAAATCACTCTAAGGTCTGTATCATTTATAAAGTGTAAAGACCAAGGTGTAAAATGTCAGCATTCTGGCACTATTCCAAGGAAGACATTGAAAATTAGGGCAGAGTATTTTTAAACCAATAGGCTTGTAAACCTATACCTGGTATATAAAGTTCTGGCTTACTTTGCCAATGGTCATCTGTTGCAGATGCTTCGAGAGAAGAGTTGCTGGAAAAAAACACATCAAGTGTAGAAGACATGTTCAAAAATAGAAAATACTGCTCTTGAACTATGAACTCTCTTCAAAGGAAGTTTTAACATTTTAAGTCTTCAGGGCCTTTAAATGTGAACTGGAAAATGTGGAAACTGGAAAATAATTACTTTATGTACTTTTTATGTGAGATTAAGGTCTCTGCTATAGCAGAGTTCCTTTACAAGGAATATGTAGGACAAGGCTAAAGACTGAAACAAGAGGTAAGAACTTCACTTAACACAAACTTGTAGGACAAGGCTAAAGACTGAAACAAGAGGTAAGAACTTCACTTAACACAAACTTGATAACTGAAAACTTTAGTTATCATGGTATTTCATTCTGATGATAGTTTACAAGTCAATTAATGAAAACTGGTATGTCTACATGAAAAAATTTACCTGATTTAAAGCCAGTCTTCAAGTATCTGAATGCAAACTGATTACTTTTATATATGTGTCTGTGTGTGTGTGTGTGTGTGTGTGTGTGTATACACACACACACATACACCCTGGGGCTTTCATTTCTATAGTATAGAGTCCCAGGAGGGAGATTCTGGGTTGAACTGCATGTGCATTTAGATTTTTTAAAATTTTTTATATATATTTTATTGTACTTTAGGTTCTGGGGTGCATATGCAGAACATGCAGGTTTGTTGCATAGGTACATACATGGCAGTGTGGTTTGCTGCCTCCATCTCCCCGTCACCTATATCTGGCATTTCTCCCCACGTTATCCCTCCCCAACCTCCCTACCCCCCGCTGTCACTCCCCTATTCCACCCCCAACAGACCCCAGTGTGTGATGCTCCCCTCCCTGTGTCCATGTGTTCTCATTGTTCAATACCCGCCTATGAGTGAGAACATGTGGTGGCAAACTGATCACTTTTAAAGGTCTACTTGACTGTCTTACAGGAAAGTGAAAAAGATTTAATTCGGTAATATAGCTTTAAAAATTGTGACTGCTTTGATTGTGATGCTCGCAGAAACATGTAAACTACATTGATAAGGTAATAAAATTGTGAATAGTACACTATATATTACATAAGAAAAAACATATATTACTATAATATGAACAGAGTATCAGCAACAGTACCAAACATCCAAGGTGAATCAATTTTTCCGGCACTTTTTCAGCAACCTGTACTATTTATCTTTCTTAAGCTTGGGTTTTTTTTTTTTTTTTTTTTTTAATGTTACTTTCTTAGGGTACATGCAAAATCAAATTACAAGTTCATCATTTCTGTATGGTTGTAATAATTTTGGGGGGCATTTAAATAATTCTCTCTAATTAGATTTTTAACTCAGCAGTGGGGAAAAAAAGACACACACAAACTGCAAAGTGAAACTTTCTCGATACAGGCATAAAACAAAAATGAAACTGAATAGCAAAGGATGGGAGGGAAAGAAGAGGATATAGGTGAAAGAGGAAAAAACAGATTTCAAAAGCTAGTTATTTAAAAATGGGCAATTTTAACCGATTTTCCTAAATGGTAAGGCAGCTACGGAGTCAGAATTCTGTGGATATTTATGCAAATAAACAATTTCAGTGTTCAGAATTTATTCCTCTATCCTTCCCACTCTCACTGTCTCTAATATCTAATAGCATTTTTCAAGATAAGCAAGCCACACACACAGCACATGAAAACTAATGACAACCCTTAAGGCACTCTGAGCTCTTCTGTCCTTGAGCTTGTCCTAGAACAAGAGCATAGTTGACAAGCAATATCCAGCAATGCCAGGCTTGGATGCAGGCTGCCAATAAAAACCAAGCAAACTGCTTTAAGAAATGGTCTGCTGAATGATTTACTTTCTCTTAAAGGAAAAAAAAATAAAATGTAGAGAATTCAATTATTTAAATATAACTTAGCCATAATATTCTAGGATTTTACTGTAATATACATTTTTGAATCTTAATTTTCAATATATAATTTGTTATAAATCAGTAATCTAGCTTTTATCAATTCATAAAACATACCAGTGATAATCCCATTCTATAAAATCCTGGGTAAAACTCACACGCACAAAATAAAAATTGATAATCTTTATTACTACTCATAATAAACTGTTCCTTATCCTAGTAACAAAAAGCCTGTGGCTGTCAGTAAAACTGAGTCACATAGCAACTGAAAGAACAACATAACTGAATCTTACAGTGTTTCCCCTCAATCTGGAAAGAGACTCCTGAAGGTACTTTGTTTTTTCTTAACATCTACATGTAAAACAAGAAGCTTTTAAAATTAATACACATAAAATATTATTTTTGAGACCTAAGACTCTTCAAAGTTTTGCATATTTATGTCTTCACAAATTATAAAGAAGTTTTGCATTATACTGGATCATTCTTTTATTTTCTAAATTTGTATTTTAAAATGCCCAAAATTTCAGTAAGATATAGAATCAAATAAGAATCACAAAGTTAGACAAGTGAAACTCATTTATATGAACTCTACACACTTACCCTGAAGACAACCGGACGAGCTTCACCAGCAAAAGAAAATTCTTCCTGTCTGAGAAGCACTAATATAGCACAAGGTGCAACTGAGGGCGGTTCCAAAAGCCTCAACTAAGCCCTATGCAAAAACCTTGTGACGTACTGCTGCACAGTACTTTATACATGCTCTTGGTTACAGCCTCGCTAGCTCTGAGCTAGTCACCAGTCAGTCTATATAACATTATCAATTGAAGTTATGTGATGGTTAAGAGAAGGTAAATCTGTACTATTAGAACTAGCAACTGGCTCTGGAAAGAAAAGAGGAACCTCTACAATAACACTTAAAAACACTCCCTTCCTCGTGGTTTGTCAGTGGTTTGTCAGTGTATTTCTGATATGTGAACTTTTCTGTATATTCTATTTTAATACAAAGTAAAAAAGATTAGGTTGCTGTTGCCAGGGCTGGAGGAAGAGGATGGAGAATTACTGCTCAACGGATAAAGTTTCAGTTTTAAAAGATGAAAAGAGTTCTGGAGTGGACAGTGGTTATGGTTGAACAGCAGTGTAGGTGTGCTTAATGCCACCAAATTAAATGCTTAAAAATGTTTAAAATGGCACATATATATTATGCATGTTTTACTACAATATTAAAAAAAGATTAGCTCACTTAAAGTCTATGAACAAAAAGACATGATATATGCAAATGTAGTCAATAGAATGTTAATAGTCTTTATCAAAGGGCAGTGAGATTTAAAGTGATTTTTATATTTTCCTATACTTTTAGTAAATAAGACCAGCCATAAAATCTGAAAATAAAAATTTCTATTTTTAAAAATTTGGGGAAAAAGTTTCTTCCTGTTAAAAATAAGAGCAGTCCAATTGTTGTGAAGAAAATATTTTTATTTTTTTTAAAGAGAATTAGTCTTGCTTTTAACCTGAATACTAGGGTGGCAATATGCTAATACCATGTGTCAGGACCTGATAGATAAGTTATGCCGTGGGCTCTGGGAAACTTTATCATTAGGAACATGGCTATGCAACACTTATGTAAATACATTTTTATTATCAGCTTTCTCTCTACTGTCCTCAGAGGAATCTAGTTTAGGTAATATTTCAGTAACAAATTTTGTGAAGTATCGTTCTCTACTAAAAACAACACGAACAAATGTTAAAATTGCTGTTAAAAAACTATCCAGGCTGGGCACAGTGGCTCAAGAAACAAGGACACAAGCAAAGCACTTAATCAAAGACACTGAATTTTGTTTCTAATAGCTCTAGAGTACTTAAAAATTGTTTTTTTTTTGAGAAGGGATACAAAGGATATGGAAGTACAAAGTTGTAAAGGCAGGTTCTTTAACAGCACAATGGACTTTCATCTCTGTACACAATAATTGGGCCCTGTTGCCTTGGAGTTTCTTTACTCATTGACATAGAAACGGAAAACACTCCTAACACTCCTAGTGGCAAACTCTAGATCTGAAATTCATACGCCAAAGAGCAGAGCACTTATAGAGAATTCAAATCTTTGGAAGATTGTTTTTCCTCCCCTTTTAACACTGAAACTGGATGTCTTTATCAATGGAGAAAGAGGTATCCATTTGTATTTCTGAGTAACTAGTTAAGAGCTTTTTAGATAGTCAATTATTCAATCAACTTGAAAAACTAAAAATTATGACTTCATATTTTGCCATCAAAAGATTTCTTAGAAATTCAAATAATGAAAAAAGAAAAAGCCCACAGCAAATCAAATATATGAATTTATGCTTTAATAACTTATTGTCTTTAATATTGAGACAGGGAAGTAAAGAAAACAAGGTATTACATTAATTAAAAGTTGCATGTAAAAGAAATCACATCATAATCCCACATAAAACCTGTAGCAAGTATAGTTGTTTCTCAACAATACAATCTAGACTCATAGTTGGGCTACTATAATCCAATTACCATTCCAACAAGGAATGTATTTTTAAACTTAAATAGGATGACACCCTAGGAAGTTATTCCAAGCTAAACAATGAAGCCACCATATAAGGAAGACAATCTAATAGGAGATGAGATGCAATAGTCAATATACTGACTCTTGCGAAATCCTGTTCTTGCTAATTGCTGCATGATGTAAATACAAAGATTATTTTTTTAAATATGCAAAACATCAGTCTAGGTATGTGACTTCTCTTCAAACTTCCCCCTGAAGACAACAGTGAACTGACTTCAATATTATGACTATTCAAAATAGAAATGAAACAAGGTACTATAAATGTTGATATGAATATAGTTTAAAATGTATAAGGATCAGAAAACAGAGATGAAACAATGATTTATTACATTTTTTGAAAATGAATGGCAAATAAAAATTTTCTTTTTTTTAAATCAAAATTTTTTTTAAAAACATAGAGACTTGGTCAGGTGCGGGGGCTCACGCCTGTAATCCCAGCACTTTGGGAGGCTGAGGCAGGCAGATCATGAGGTCAGGAGTTGGAAACCAGCCTGGCCAACATGGCAAAACCCTGTCTCTATTGAAAATACAAAAAATTAGCCGGGTGTGGTAGTCCATGCCTATAATCCCAGTTATTTGGGAGGCTGAGGCAGGAGAATTGCTTGAATGCAGGAGGTGGAGGTTGCAGTGAGCTGGGATCTCACCACTGCACTCCAGTCTGGGTGACAGTGCAAGACTCTGCCTCAAAAGAAAACAAACAAACAAAAACCCCACAGAGACAGGGTCTCATTATGTTGCCCAGGCTGTAGTACAGTGGCTATTTACAGGTGTGACTCCACCACTGATGAGCTTAGGAGTTTTGACCTGCTCTGTTTCCAACCAAGGCTACTTCACCCCTCCTCAGGCAACTTGGTAGTCCCCCACTCCCAGGAGGTTCCTATATTGATGATGAATTTAGTGCATCCACTTGATTGGCATAGTGCACTAAAGCCTGGAACTCCTCGGCTCAAGTGATCCTCCCACCTCAACCTCCCAAGGACTATAGGCACTAGGCCAGCACGCCCAACCTCATGTTTTTTATCATTTAGGATCACTGCAAAAACTTATCCTAGTAGCTGACTATGAGTGACTGCAGCACTTATGAATTTATAGACTATGACTGACTGCAGCACTTATGAATTTATAGACATTTGTGTATGCAAACTGAGGAGAACGGATG